TCGGTTTTTTGCCCCTTACGGTCGAAAATCAAAAACCGTACATTGCACTCATTTCTCATTCAAATAGACTTAAATTTTCAGGAAATGATTAGCAGAGGTTATAGAATGTGGAACTGATCCAAAACATTGGATCTGAACTTTGGTTGTGTGGGAGGTTTATCAGAGATCCGCTAAAAAGCAGCACGGATCAATTGAAAATCTTATGTAATTTTTCGACTAGTAAGACGTTCTATGATCTCTGCTAATCATTTCCTGAAAATTTAAGTCTATTTGAATGAGAAATGAGTGCAATGTACGGTTTTTGATTTTCGACCGTAAGGGGCAAAAAACCGAATTTTCACCAGTGTGGCTTTGTTGAGGTTGTGGTTCAGTGGAGAATGAAACAAACATCGCCACGATGATCATCGTGGTCGATTACCTATGATGCATGGGTTTTTTAGATTTCCAGACGTGTCTGGAATCAGACAGGTGTGTCCTCGGAAAACCTCTGTGTGTCCGGAACCAAAGGAGACGAAGGTCTAGGCCTTGCTTAGTTTTGAGAAGTGATGTCCTGGCTATCGGCTGGTATTATTTGAGATGAATTTCATAGTGTGATTTGGGAACGGTATGCTTTCGGATTTTATCTCGAATAGTACACCATAGTAAACCTTATCAGGAGTCCTGACGTTTTCATAGATTTACGTCCCAAAGTGTCTAGTTTTAGAATCTGAAAACCGCAAGTCTCTAGCTTTCTTTGTTGAAAAGTTATAAGCATTTGAACTCATGTCTGCTTAAACGGAAATCGGGAATGAACGGGTTAATATACAAACTCCCCAATTTAAGAAAGTAGGCACACAATGACAGTCGCACTTTAAACTAACAACTATACTAACGTTTATTACTATTCAAAAAATTTTTACGATTACAAAACACGTTTTTCTAATACACCCTTTAATTTACCTTCCACACTTTCCCAATAAAGACAACTTTTTATTCCTTTAAAGTTTGAACATGTCTCTAAAAGACGCTCTTGAAGGCTTATGTCCCTCTTAGAGACTTATACATAGCCCTGTTGGAATATAAATACCGATTCTTGTGCGAGTAAACATATGTCTCTGAGAGACTCACATCTCACTGAGAGACTTGTATATACAGTTTTAGAATAAAATTCCATATTTTTATTTGAATCAGTACTGATTCAAATAAGATAGGTATGAGTTACTTAGAGACATAGACTAGTCTATGAGATAATAGCATCTCTATTTGGTTGAGTCACTGTGTCTCTACAAGCCTCACACAGCACCTTGAGACACATTGATACTGTTTTTAATTAAATAAATCATTATTTTCAATTAAAACGTCACAAGCACACATCTCTACGTGACATATATACCAATTATATAATATTATATGTCTCTATGTGACATATTAATACTACAATTAGTTAGGAACCAATTAATTAAACCTAAAACAACATAAATCACACATTTATGAAACTTGTTTCCAAGTTTCATAAAATTTAGGAAACCTAGATGTTGATTTTTTTAACCCACAAGTTACATAAAAATGAAAAATTTTATGAAAGTTGTAAAAAGTTTCATAAAATTGTGATTTGTGAAACCGGATTTATGAAGACAGGATAATTCGAAAAAATGGAGAAGAAACGATAGATTTCATATATTTTCTCTGTTATACAAACATCACAGAGAAGCACTTTACATTATTCTGTTGCTCCGAATAATCTGATTAATTCGTTTGATCCGATTCGTTCGATCGTAACTTTGACGGCTTCTCTGAGAATAGACGTAAACTAACTGAATGGAAATATGATAAGTAATAACTGTCCCTAAATGGGACATTTATTCTGGGTCACTCATTCATTTCTGAGTTGTCAACCTCCAGTTTTGGTTCAAAATATTTTCTGTACTTAGTGTGAGCGAAGGTACAACTGACAGACTGGAGAATTATTTTTTGCGTAACTTCTTATACTGATCTAATTCTTTGTTTAAAAACTCAAAACATTTTACTCGACAACGCAAAGGGTTATGAATTCATGTTTTAACCAGAAGCACAACTAAGGAATATTATCAAAATGATATGAATAATAATATAAAAAAGTTTTCACCGACTTTGCGTATAATCAGACGAGAATGCGTTTCTGTGAAACTTAATGGATGCAGGAGTAACAGATTGATGGAAAATAATAATTAGCATCGCATGAGACATTCTAGTTCGTTGAAGCCGCCGGATTAACTTGATAGGAGTTATCAAATGAGTCAACTAATTCTTCATCAAGCATTCTCAGTCTAAAGAACAGGGTTTCTGGTTGTTCTTAGGGATGGGAAGTGCTAAAAGTTTTGCTTCGCAGAAAGTGGCTGACGAAAAAAGATTTTCGAAAATTTTAACAGAAAGTTGAAAAAACGTCAAAGATTTTGCCAGAAAGTCCAAAAATGTTTTTAGGGAGGGGTCGGCACCTTCTCCCTGCCCTCCCTGATCGAGAATCGTGCAAACGAGGGTTATACATCGAATCTGAGAAACAAGTGAGACACAAAAAGGAAGGTTCAACTGCTAAAACGAGTCAAAAAAATACTGTTATAATGCACATGGCTACCGCTGCAGGTCACAAAATTACACGGGAATCGGTCTCTGCAGTGGTCTAGTCATTAAGTATTACCTGCTTCAGACTTTCGGTAGGCGTTATCAGTTGCGAAAGACAAAGACATTGGAACAGAGAACGATGTAATCATCAGTTCTGAATCCTCAACACAGTAGAGAGCAACAGGAATCAGAATGACAAAGGTTACTTGTACGCAACAAGACTCAAAATGTATCTTACCAGCCGTACAAAAACTTTGAACTGTTTTTAGCCGATAACACTGTTTCGTTTCTTGTAAAAACTCACAAAGCCTTTTCACCATCGAAGGACCCAACCACATAGTTGTCACTTGTTCACTTTCAATAGTTTTACTCAAATAATCTACGTCCATATTACCACCAGGTTTCAACATGACTAAAGTAGCACCAGTTGTTAAAGATCCAATTATTTCATATGCATGTAAAATCCAAGAACACCCTGCAATTTGAGCAGTTATATCTGTTGGCTTTTGTATAGAACAATAAAGTAAGGAACGAATCCAGACTGCAAGGTTTTGATGTTGAATTAACACAGCCTTTGGTTTCCCAGTTGATCCAGAAGTATAAATACAATATGCAATATCATCCTTGGTTACGTGCACATCTCTTACCGGCAGTGCGAGTGACTGTTGCTTTAAGTCATAATCAAGTGCGATAATTTGCTCTGAGTTTACTAATAGAAGATTAAATCTACTCATACAATCAAATTTCCTTTTTGTTTGTGAGTGAAAAATAACGATAGTCGCATGGATATCGTTTATCAGCGATCTCAAACGCAAGGATGGATCAGCTGGATTTAATGGGCAATAGACACATCCGCTAGCCATTATTGCAAAAATTCCAATAACCATTTCGATACTTCTCTCCACGCACTGACAAATAACATCACCCCTTTTGACATTACACTCTTCTATTAAATATACTGATAACTTTCGTACCATGCACAAAACTTCAGCATAGGTCAACGATTTGTCATTCAATATAACAGCGGTCTTTTGTGGATATAATACTGCCTGATTGATAAATTCGTCATGTATACACTGTGTATCGGATCCCTTTGCATTCTTTCCTAATACCCAAGACATCTACAGTGCGTCTAACGGTAGTCGCGTATTTATCTTCCAAAAATGAAGGAATCCCACGAATAAACAAGTAGATCTAGAAAAAGTAAACCACCAATTATTAGGGCATTGATGCTTCTGAAAATAACTGTATACACTTCGAACATAGAGCGGAAAGTATTTCTGCAAAATATGAAAACAATATCTAGAAATTTGTATTCACGTTCTAGATGAAACACAACATTGAACGGAAAAGTTGGAAAATGATAATAGGTCTTCCTTCATCTTTTCAGAAGCATTATATTGTGGTGGATTCATTCT